GGTTCTTGAATGACTAGCCTGGAAATAAGAAATCTTTGTTCATTTTTCACGTTTGTCACAATGAAATATATATGATAATAAAAAAATACCCACGAAATTAATCGCAGCGGATAGTTCTATCGGATATGAATCATAATTAGCTGAAAATTAACATCCTTTGATTCATTAATTACTAATGAGTAGTATGTTTATTTATTGATAGAAATTATTGCTAGTATGTCACCAAGAACCAACCTCAAGGTGTTGTTTTTACTTAGCACATAGACGTACATAATCTGTTCCTTATCGCTTTAATCAATTCTAGATATTTGGTCATGGGTTCATTCTGACATTTTTTTAATAAAAATTATATAACAAAAGGCAGAGGCACACCGAAAATAGCATAATCGAATATGGTGGAGTCCACACCATGTTTTGAAGGGTAGTGTGTTTCCTAAAAACGAGGAGCGCTACTATAGTTTGGGCAAAAATGTGAAACCCATGCGCATAAAACTTAACTTTGCTAAAGGGCCTAAAGAATTGGCAAGCAGTACTAATAGTTTTGTAGATTTTAACTTATAGAATTCGGCACATTTTTGAGAATAATTATTAAAGTGGCTTGCATTTCTAATTTACAAGTAATGTTTCTAGTTTCAATTATATAAAAAATATTTGTATTATATTCTTTAGATAATCTATAATTGTGTTCTTTATACATTTGATTCAAAAGTTAATTCACGTCTATCTTTAGCACAGTTATCTGTTATATTGCTGTTAGCTGACCCGCTATCGCCATTGCGAAGGTCGATCTAGGTTCCATTGTTGTGGAAGAGCAATTCATCAGCACTGCAACAATTATTCTTCGAAGTTCATATTCATGAATTCTGATCTCAATTAATTAAAAAGAATTTAAACCAACTTGAACAGGCGATTTAGTTTAAATCCAAATGTTAATCCATGCATATTCATCCAGCTAGAATTCGTTATGTTCAAATTTAGACATTAGAAAAGGCCTAACTACACGGAAAACATGTCGGATTCGCTCTGCTTCCGTAAAGCTATGTAATGACATCGATCAAATTACGTCATCAAATGCCTCATTATTGTTATAGTCACGCTGTGATGTCACTTGTCAGCTTTTATTTTACATTAGCACTGCTGCTAGTGTTGCCCAAAATCGGTCTTGGTCTTGCACTTTGCAACACCAAGACCGAGGCTGCCTAACTGTTGCAAGACCAAGACCAGAGCTGGTAAAAAAAATCGATTTTTTAAATATAAATTAAGGCAAAATAGTTACTAATACTTGACAATCTTAGTTACTATTTGTTAATAATTGGTATAACCAATATACTTTTGCATTTAACTCCTCTAATTTTTCATTTGGGCTTAGTTAGATTTCTCCTATCTAAAAAATTACAGTTATATCTCTATAGTAATAAGCTAATAAGTGCAAGACTGTTGCGAGAGTCTTGCGCAAGACCAAGACCATGACCAACACTGAGTTTGCAAGACCAAGACTCGTCTCGGTCTAGCATTTGGGCAACAGTAACTGCTGCCGAAAGTGTCAACTTCAACAATAACTGTTTGTGAGGTAAGAATAGCTTACCTCATATGACAGTACTTTTCTTCTGCGCTAGTATCATTATTCTTAGGTAGATATATGTTACTCGTTATCTCCCTACCGTTAATTCATTTCAACAGCCCATCGAAGAAATGTCTTAGTGAAATCTCGTTATGTTCCATAATTTTCTGTATAAAAATCCACTTTTTCGAATTGTTCTTTGACCAACTGAGGATAGATATTATCTCTACTGCTCTCGGCAAATTCATGCACAGCACCTTTACTATTAGATCAACAGTAGCTCCTTTAAACATTTTACGAATTTAAGGTCTCACGAGATCCTTTCCTTGATGGCATTACATAATATGGAGGATTTTTTTCTCGAGTACTTAAAATCTTCTTGGCCAATAACTTTAACAAAGTTCATTAATCCATTGATGTGTAAGAAAAGAAGAAGAACGATTGTCGGATTGATCAAAGGCTAACAAATAACGTCTTTTTGTGTTCGGCGTTACTGACTTCAGTTGGAGGAGGACAACTGCACCTATCAAGGTTTTGAATTGAAAGTATTTCTAGGATTCACGTTGCCTAAACTGTACTTTTTTTACGAATTCAGATGCAATGTAAATAATGTTAATATATATTATTTTTTTGAGCTGGATTTCCTGCGCCTGGTTCTTCCCTGTCAAAACTGCTTTCACATTCATGATTTTATACTATCCAACTTTTAAATGCCCTTTATATCCAGCAACATCCTGGAGGCCTTTATAATCCAGTGGCCTGACATTTCCTGATTGGCTGCGACACAGGGCGCTCGACAAGTCAGTAGCGGTTCCAAGTTTTTCTTCTGGAGGTACGACAATTTTTAGCTCAGGATATTGAGGGGATTTATTCATAAAATTATGTTATTTTTCTTGAATAATATTTTGCGAATTCTTAATTTATATAAATCTATATCTATATCTATCTATCTATCTATCTATATATATATATATATATATATATATATATATATATATATATATATATATATATATATAGATATATATATAGATATATATGTGTGTGTTTTTCTAGTTTGCTATAGTATTTTCGGAGGGTGGTAAAAGGAGGAGGTTGTTTATTGTGTTCCAAACCATAGAATCAGTTTATTTTTTTTTTAAATGTATCAGCTATTTCATGAAATAGCTGATACATTTAAAATACATACATATTTTATAATAAATACAATTAGGAAATTTAAGTAAAATATATTTTTATTTTACATTGTTGTTCATTTCCCTGTTATGCGAGGATGTTTTCTGAGGATGAGAAGAGGTTATGTGTCAAACTGAGATTCTTAGTATAGGTTGTTTCATTTCGTTTCATTATCATTATATATCATTTAGGATTTCTTGGGGTGATGTAATATATTGTGTTGAGGAAAAAGTAATTTGGTTTTATGTATATGTGACTTTATAGTATCTTATCTCTTGTAATCCTTATTAAATGAAGCCATTATGTAGTGCTTTTGAAAGATTTTAGTTCATAAAACATTCTGTTCATAAAAATAGCGTCATTCATTTATTCCGGCAACAGTTATTGCGCTTTAAAATGGAGGTTTCAGAAGGTCATTGTGTCATATTTTTCTGTTTTACTTCAGAAAAGGGAAAAATGCGCAGAAAATTGTATGATGTTTACAGTGATGGATCCCAGTGTCACAATTGATTTGCTCGTTTTCGTTACAGAAATTTTCATGTTAAAGATGAACGTCTTCCTGGCCGGCCAGTCGTTAAATAAGTCGATGAAATTCTTCATAACATCGATATGTACCGAGTATTTCATTTCTCGTTTTAACAAATTATTGCGGGTGATCGGAAAGAAATGGTTGGTCTTGAGCTGCTTGAACCTGGGCAAACCATAAATCAACTCTGTTGTAAACAAATAGTGCAATTGAACCAGTCAATTCAAGAAAAACTACCAGAATTAATCAATAGGAAAGGCATTAATTTTAATCACGACAACGTTATACTGCACACATCTTTAATGACCCGGCAAAGATTGAGAGAGCTTGGCTGGGAGGTTTTGATGTATCCACCATATAATAACCCGAGCTTTACCCCGTCCAACTATTATTTATTTCGGTCTCTGCAGAAGAACTCTCTTAATGGTGTAAAACTGGTATCAAAAGAGGATATATAAGAGTTCAGTTTTTTGCCCAGAAATCTCAGAATTTCTATACCGACGGGCTTACGGTTTTGCCAGAAAAATGGCCAAACGTCATCGATCGTCAAAGCCAAAAACGACATATATATCATTGGTTAGTGTTTGAAATTTGTATAAATAAATTAGCTTTGAAAATCATGAAAGAAAACGAAATTGCATTTTCCTCAACCCAATATGATGTACTGCCTTAGTGACTGGCGGGAGTTATAATGAACTGATTTCTATTAGTTGGTGTGTATTTTTTTTAGCAATCACAATGTATTCTCTTTTTAAATGATGATGCATGTACAGCTTTTAAATGTAGTATGCGTTAAATATGTATATATATATCTATATCTATATATATATATATATATATATATAAAGAAGTTCATCCCTAAAGCATTTTTTTTTTATTATTATTTTTTTAGTAGGTCTAATAGGACACCCCAACATTCCATGTTGGTAGTTTCCTGATTACTTAACATCGCATCATTTCTTTTTTTCATCTACTTTTTAAACATTCTAACATTGTTTCAGTTTTATTTTACTGATTTTAATAAATCGAATAATGTATGTGTCAAACAGCCAAATTCCTTAAGTTTTTTTGCCTCCCGCCTGCTTGGGCTTGTTAAGATCTACTTTCCATATTTCAAAAATATTTATATCTTCGACTAATTCTTAGGCCATTATTTTCATAAGATTGGTAATGCTTCTCTTAATAGAAACTCCTCTTGTAGTTCTATTAAAAAATAAATGTAATTTATGTAATCAATTCGTTGATAGATAATTTTATTGTTGAAATGTTTCGAAGAATACTATAGACTTTTATTCTTGATGTATTGTCCAGGCACTGGTTATATTTTTACTTTGTAACTTTTTTTATATTTTATTGATAATGGATGCATTGTGACTAGGTTAAGTTTAATATAATAGCCGCTTTGTGTGCTTAGCTCATTTTGCTAACAATGTTTGTATTTAATTATAACTTTGCTGTAGTTGCAGAGGACGTTATTACTGCGATAGTTATAATGAGAGGGAAGGGAAGGAGGGATTTCGATTGTTTTCGTTGATTCGACCGATTAATTACTAGATGAAGCCGATACAATTGGCCGTGAAGGCCTGATGTTACAGCTTACTATCTAGGCGGCACTGTTTACCCTCCCTCGCCTCTTTGCGAACGCTTTTCATATTTGGTCGAGCCTCCGTACAAACTTGGCTCTCTCAGCCAAATGTATTTTAGGTTATTTACATATTTGTCGTGTCTATGTCGTAGCTTTGGGCGAATGGCGTAGCCGTCGAACTGTGGGCGGCTGCTGTTCTAGTAATTGTGGTGTCATACTCTCTTTCGTTACGAACATTGAAGCATCGCGAGGCTGTTGTGGTATGATCGATCGCAAGGGTTCTCAAAAGAGGTTCGTAAGTAAGTAATATGTATTTCCTTATGTCATTTATATTTCTTCGAATTTTTTTTTTTTTTACTTCTATACGGATTCTTAACAAGTATTTTAATACTGAACAAATTTTTATTTGGCTCTGTTTATTTTATATTTTCTGTACATATATTGTGAATGTAGTCTTATCTCATTATAATTATTGTTTTTTGTTTTTTTTAAGTGGGTCATGTTTTTTAAAAAGTGATAATATTTTTTTTTCATAATCATCCAGCTATACTACAATTTCCCCGTTTTCACAAAAACTTCTTCGTTTAATAAGTTGTAAGTTCGTAATAATTAAGTTGTGGTTTAAAAGTTATTATATTAATTAAAATTTGAGATTAAGCTGAGTTATTGTAAAAAAATCATGCTATATTTTTTATCATACCAAATAAAGTATATTTGATAGTGCATTTTCGTTTATATGTCTTAATGTTGGTTTGTTAACTTAAACTATTACCAATTACACTTAAAAATATTACTTTTTTTTTTTTTTTTTTTTTTTTTTTTTTTTTTTTTTTTTTTTTTTCCTATCCCCCAGGAATTTCTTGAATAAAAGGAATTTCTTGAATAAAAAAAAATATAAAAAATAAAAATATTACTATTAAATTTTTAAGATTATATATTATTCAATCTAATTTTATTTTTCGAGGAACACCTTCATTAACCCTTTTTGAATTTACGAAAACTTAATTTCATTTTTATACTCGACAACATTTTTAGAAATTTCGCCCATTTTCAAGTCAAGAATGAAATCTATAATATAAATAAAGATATTAGTAATATATTTAAAATTTAAAAACAAAAACAATATTTTTAATTTAAAACGTATATTTCAAAATTTTAAACTTTTTATTAAAGACAAAAAATCTAGAGGAACAAAATTCAAAGAAATTTATACAAGAATTACTACATTTATTTACAATTACGTTTTTCTTTTTAATAAAATAAATTGTATTTTATTTACCTTTAGCTAATCTCATTGCAGTTATTTATACAACTTTTGGTAAATGCTCGAAATTCGACCATAATCATTATTGAACATTTGAGGAAAACGTGAATAAATTTGCTTTTTACCAATATTTTGTTTCTACTCTCATATATTCATATATTTACTTTTGCAAAAGAAAACAGTACAGTAGGGTAAAGATACCTATTAATTATATATTACCAATTATTGAAACTTGTAACTTGAATTTGATAAAATAAGCATGTAGGATTTAAAATTTGGCGCCCTTTCAAAGAATGATTAACGTGCTTCTGAAACTTTACCCTACCATTTGTTTTCGTTTTGAGTTATAGGCAAATAAAAATGAGAATTTATCGTTAGATTTAACAATAAAAAAATATTTGAACCCACTTTTCACTATTTGTTACAGTTTACATGGTTTCTGCTTATTTTTTGTGTATAGGTGGAATCATGTTTAACTTATCACACTTTTATTGATTTTCGAAATAAAATCGAAGACACCTACTTTGTTCAAAATTTGAGGCAAAAGCTTTATTTTTCAATCCCAATGAAAATTCGCATTTTAGGGTTTAGGGGTGCGACATACAAATATCAATTTTGTTTTCGCTTTAAAAAATATTTGAACACACTTTACTCCTACAGCTACTACCAATTGTTTTATTTCGGATATAATTCATATCATTCTCGATGATTTTTTAAGTGAATTCGGAAAACTTTCAAATAAATATGGATGGTAGTATTGAGTACTTACTAAGTTATTCGGGAATGAAATTCTTAATTCATCGTAACATTTTTTACAGCTTGTTTTCTGGAAAGTATTTTATATATATAAATCAAAAGAGCTTCAAGGAGAAGACTTTAGTCAAGTCTCATTATAATCGTTACAGCCATTTTAGCCCTATCGACTAAAGCGACTCACGCTTTTCGGCCGCAATTTTAAAACGAAAAACCGGATGATAATGAAACGTATATAATAACACTCCTGAATTGCAACGTATCAAAGTTTCAAAGTAATCGGTGTTGAACTTCCGTAGATTAGCGGTTTCAAAAAACTAACATTAACATTTTTTTTATTAAACTAAACTTCGTCAATCGTTACTAAACAAAAAAAAAAAAAAAAAAAAAAAAAAAAAAAGAACAAAGAAAATCGGTTGAGAAACAAAGGGAAAAAAAGGAACTGAACTGGTTTGCCTTTGCCTATTTATATAATGATTATACATGAATGATTAGTTTTGTTTATTATTACTCAGATATACGCGGTTCATTTAGTTACAATATTTAAAAAACCTATTTTTATTTCATATCGTAGATGGAGGCTATGGTATCAATTTTTCCTATTTAAATAATCTAAAAAAAAAACGAAGTATTAATACTATCAAACTAGTAACATATATACTTTCTTTACATTTCTTCTTTCAAATAATTTTTATGTCAACCAAATTTTTATGTCGTTTATAGACTAAAAACCTATAAATAAGAAGATATTTTCCTGAATGGAATAACGTTTTAAATGCTGGCTTAATTTACTCCTTTGCACAACGCTGACACGAGCCTGCAATTAACCATTTGAAGTATGATGTCAGAAAGCTATTACGGTTTTTGTATTTATTTGTTATTTATTGATTCATAAATGAAATATTTTATTTTTTCAAAATTAATATATGAGTCTTTTATTTCCATAGTCCTAGTCATCATTGACGAAAAACTATTTTTCTATTGAAATTTCAATATCAGAAACAAAATTTAATAAAATAAATAAATTAAGAAATCATTTATTTGTATTGTGTGTAGATTTTTTTTTGTCTATATTAAACCCAAAGTTATCTTTTATTTTATTATATGTATTTATACATGGGTGAGTGTGTAAATTGGTGTAATAATTTAATTATCTAGGTTATATCTATTCTATAGAAAACTCTCATGTTTCAAGAATATTTTATGTTCATTGTATTATTTCACCTAATGGTCCAGCCAATGAATGATTTTTCTTTTTTCTTCCCTACCTCGCCTTTTAGGCTATACGGGATTTTCCCGGGCCGGGGAGTGAGGGTGGGGAATTCAAAATCCCGCCCCCAGCCAATGAATGATTATACAAGGAAATAAAAGGGACACAATTTTTTGCTTTAAGACTATTCGGACTAGTTAGGAAGTAAGCATGCTAAAAGTCCTCACTCCTAGGAGGTGAGCAGGTATGGAGGGCTCCCAGAAGATCACTTCTTTCGGTTTGACGTTTATATCTGGAGGACGCTTATACAGGGTGTCCCGTAAGTAGAGGGGAATTTTTATAGGAAGTGATAGCAGACCTCGAAAGCTACAAAAAAGTTCATATAAACAATGGGCCAATTTTTATCAGGGAAGTAGGAAGTCCAAGTTTTTTGTTTTTTTAAAAGTGATGATTTTTTTTTATAATCATCCAACTATACTACAATTTTCCCGCTTTCACAAAAACTTCTTCATTGAAGTTTTTCTTTTCGTTGAAGTATGTTATATAGATAAATTTAAAGGGCGTCGAGAAAATGACTTTAGCGAAGTTTCATTGAAATCTGTACATTCGTTTAGGAGCTACAGTCTATAGCAACACAGATTTTTCGGCCGCCATTTTGAAAGTTAAAGGCGGAGAGTAATGTCGATGAAGAAGGATCATCCTCGGGTGACCTCTGATTTTATATCAAAATTTGAAAAAAATCGGTTGAGTAGTTTCGGAGAAAATACCCGGACGGCGGACAGACAAAAAAAATTGTATTCGTTTTTCGAATTCTACGCATCTTGAAACGTGAAACCTCAAATTTTTAGTGGGGGTTATGTTTTTGAATTTTTTGGTCGATCACAATGTTTTATTATTGAAAATAATAAACCAAAATGAATTCGAATAATATGGATTTTAAAAATATTTTCCGGGTCAATTGGTTATAAACTGTTTTTCACCCAGATCTCTATTATAGGAATTGATTGGCATTTGTAGGTGACAAAATAAAAGTTTCTTGTCCTAAAATGTATGTCTAAAATAAAAAAAAAAACTGCTGATTGCTTCAATTATTTTATTAAAACGTTAATATTATAATCATGGATCTTTAGTTTGTCACTTATAAATTCAAATCAATTCATATAATAGAGATCTGGGTGAAAAACACAGTTTATAATCGATTTACAGAGAAAAAAAAAATCAGTATTTTTCTTATTCTTTTTTTTTTAATGAATAAAATGTGTGTTTAGGCAATTGCGTTTATTAAAATGCATCCCACATCATGGAAATCAAGAAATAAAAGCTTTGCAACAATTAATTGTAGTCATTTTTTAAAAATGAAAACAGGAGTAATTTTACTTGACAGAATAAAAAATATAATATTTTTACAAAACTTGAGTTGAACCTCTAATTTTTCTCTAATAAACCACAACTTAATTATACTTAATTAATACGAACTTACAGCTTATTAAACAAAGAAGTTTTTGTAAAAGCGGGAAAAGTGTAGTATGGTTGGATGATGATAAAAAAGAAAACTGGAGAATAATTTATGATTTTTAAATTATTCCTCATGTTTCTGAATAGTGATCTTAAGTGTTAACAATAATAAACTCAATTTTGGTTTAAAGTAAATTTCATCTAGTTTTAATAAAGAAATTATTAATCACTCAAATTAAATATTTCTTTATTTATTGCTTTCGATTCAATAAAAAAAAATAACTCACTTAAAAGAACACAAAACTTGGATTTGCTACGTTTCTACTGAAAATTGGCCCATTGTTTAAATGAACTTTTTTATTACTCCTATAAAAATTTCCCTCTTCTCCTTGTATATACAATATTAAAGCTGATAAAATTTGTAACAATATTGATGTTCATTTTTACTCTATCTCTTATAATTTCCGAGATATCCGTGCTCAATAATTGTTGATTTTGAAAAAACAAATTTTTGGTTCCCGTTTTCATCTTTGTTTTACTATCCAACTCTTTCCATTTTCGATCTATTAAAAAATCTTTCAAGT